TTTGTTTTGAAGTTAATTTTGGAATTTTTAAAGACAAAAAGAATATCTTATGAATTTTCTTCTAAAGATGGACGAATCAGTGAAATTCAAATTTCAGGGAAAAGTGATTATGAGTTAGAAACTGATTTATGCTTGAGCTATTGAGCTCTAATGACGGTGGCCAATTTGTCTATTTTGAACAGTGAAAAGGAAAACAAACAAGGGAAACAAAGAGGGTTAAACTCAGATTGTGCTAAGCAACGCAGGTAAGTGGAGTTTGACTTTTCTGCAGCACTTACAAACTTTGTTTAATAGACTTTCTATGGAATGTCTAGTATGCCATTATATGAATTTTTATGATATTGTCAATGTGTATGATTGTGAAGAGACTATATTGTGATATTGAGAAATTGTGGTTTTGAATGCGCTGGCCGTTCCCTCGAACCAGGTGGGTGATGACGGGGAACCTGATATTGTGATTTGAGATATTAGCATGTGGCCAGATTGTGAAAAAGCCGGCGGCAGTACCGGGAGGGCCCTAGTGATATGTAGTGCACGTGCATAAAGTGTAAGATTGATTGGCATAAGTTACTATGATGTTGCAATGTGTGAGCATGTTAAAATAAGATTGTGTGATTGTAGCTCTACTTACTGAGCTTGTAGCTCATTAAAGTTTGCTCTGTGCTGTAGGTAAAGGTAAGAACAAAGCAGAACAGTAAGCAGGGGAGTTGACTTCGTTGACCGCTGTACATATGGTTGAACCAAAGAAGCTGTACACAGATTATTTTGGGTCTGTAAACATATATATTTTGGAGTTAGACTTATAAACCTTGGATGACTGTATAATTTTAATTGTAGCTAGAAAACTTGATAGGAATGGTGTATTAACGAAATTTTGTTTAAGCAAAAAAAAAAAAAATAGAAACACCATAGTTTTCACATAAGTGACAGGTGAAGGTTAGTGATTGTGGCACGCCCTATGATTGTTAGCAAGGAACTAAAACATTTGAAGGAGATGGTATATAAGGGGTGTCACACTAACCGAGCTATCCAAGGAGATCCCTCAACCAAAACTAGTCTATCCTTGTAAAACAACAGTCCGTTCCTTAGAGAATGACCTTCCATTTCCTCTCCTCGTTCCAGTTTAGAGATAAGGGCACTCCACTCGGGCTGGTTGCGCTGCTCCTCTTGAATAGCTGCAAAATTCCATGTTTGTGGTACAGTGAATGCCGCTAGGGAAATTTCAGGCCAGTCCCTGCGACAAGACAGTGCATCAGCCACCTAGTTACAAGCCCCAACCTTGTACTGCACTTCAAAGTCACCCCAGCAATTTGTAGACCCAACGCAGCTGCTCCGGAGGAAGTTGGCATTGACTCATTAGAAACCTCAAGCTTTGCTGGTCGGTACAGACCACAAAGTGTCATCCCAAGAGGTAGTGGCGCCATTTCTGGACTGCTAAAACCACTCTCATGAGTTCCCATTCATACACCGATGTCAAACGGGAGGCAGGAGCGAACGCTTTACTGAAAAAAACAATTAGACGATCCGCCTGCATTAACACCGCCCCCAATCCACTCCCCGGCGCGTCAATCTCGACCACAAACTGCTTCACAAAATCAGGCATGGCTAGAACCGGGATTTGTGTCATGGCCGCCTTGAGCTCGTCGAACACGCGGCTTGCATCTTCCGTCCACCTAAACCCCATCTTTTTGAGCAACTCCATTAGTGGCTGTGCCATCATCCCGTATCCTTTAACAAACCTCCTATAATACTCGGTAAGCCCCAAAAACCCCCTCACCTCTCGAGCGTTGCTCAAGGGTGGCCAGGTCGTCATGGCTTCGATCTTAGAAGGGTCGGCAGCCACTCCCTGGGCAGAGATGATGTGCCCTAAGTATTCCAATTGTGCCTGGCCGAAACAACATTTTTGTTTATTGGCAAACAATTGTTCCTGCTGCAGCACTTGTAGGACGATGGAAAGGTGGTGGCGATGTTCCTCCCAACTACGGCTGTACACCAATATGTCGTCAAAGAATACAAGAACAAAATTCCAGAGATACTGCCGAAAGATGCAGTTCATGAGGGCTTGGAATGTGGCTGGCGCGTTCGTTAAGCCAAATGGCATGACGAGAAACTCATAGTGACCCTCGTGGGTTCGAAATGCCGTTTTCTCAATGTCGGCCTCATGCACCCGAATTTGGTGGTACCTAGCCCGCAAGTCCAATTTGGAGAAAACTACCGCCCCATGGAGTTCGTCCAATAACTCGTCGATCATCGGGATCGAAAACTTGTCTGGAACCGTTACTTGGTTCAGGGCGTGGTAATCAACGCAGAAGCGCTAACTCCCGTTTTTTTTTTTTTTACTAAAAGGACTGGGCTGGAATAAGGGCTGCAGCTTGGTCGTATGATACCCTAGGCCATCATGTCTGTCACTAGCCGTTCAATTTCCCCTTTTTGAACTTGCGGGAAATGGTATGGTCTGATGTTGGGTGGGTCGGCACCCTCTTTCAGGATAATTCGGTGGTCACGCCTACGACGTGGGGGCAACCCTGTGGGCTTATCAAAAACCCCATCGAAGCTCTCGACCATAGCCCTGACTTCCGTCGGCACCTCTCCACTCTCTTCTACTGGTTACTGTGCTGAGAGTTCACATACCTCGACCAATACCCCCACCCCTGCTGATGGCCAAGTTCTGACGAAAGAATGCATCTTGGTTGGTGCGTAGCACAGGCTCGGGTCACCTCTCCACACCACCCAGGTAGGTCCAGCACGGAATTTCATTACAAATTTGGACCAGTCTGCCCGAACCTTTCCGAGGGTGTTGAGCCAAGACACCCATAACACCAAGTCTGCCCCACCCAATTCGAAGGAGAAGAAATTCTCTTCTACCAAATGTCCCTGAATCCAGACTCTAACACCCCAACACACGCCTGTTTGCTTGACACACATTCCATTACCAACCAAGATATTGTTGCTTACCGTGGAGTCCATTGGCAGGTGCAGCTCCTTCACCACCAGTTTCGAGATGAAACTATGGGTGGCGCCGCTGTCTACTAGCGCCACGATTTCCCGTCCGCCAATCCATCCTCGGAGCTTCCTCGTGTTGGATGAAGACATCCCCCGCATCGAATTCAGGGACAAATCCACCTTTACGTTTAGAACCTCCTTCCCCTTGTTGTCCATCTCCAGAGGCTCGGGTTCCTCCTCGCAGTCCTCCCCTGGTTTATCCCCTTCCTCCGCCACGATGAGTACCTGAAGCTACCGGTTCTTGCAGCGGTGTCCCGGATGGAACTTCTCATCGCACTTAAAGCAGAGTCCTTGGGCCCTCCATTGCTGGATTTCTTCCTCAGTAAGCCGCCGATATGCCGCTGCATTACCGGTCGACAACGTCGGCCCCAGGCCACTCCCCGTTCTGGCCCCTTACCCTAGAGCTGCCCCCTGGTGTGGTTTGGATCGAAGGGGGACCTCTGTCGGTGAAGACCTAGAGTGAAGGCCTTCAGTTATTTCCCTAACCCGACCCCAGTTCTCAGTTCTGGGCCCACGGCCCATCCTATTTCTTCTAACCCTGTCGGCAGCCTCATTACGGGCTTCCACTTGCTGGGCCAGATCCATCATCTCATGCAGCCCATTGGGCCTATGCAACTTTAGTTCGGCCCGGATATCTTCCCTGAGTCCATGGAGGAAGGCCCCCTTGAATACGGTCTTTGGAACCCCGTGCATATGTGCTGCCGTGACCTCAAACTCGTCTCGGTATTCTACCACCGACATGCGCTGCCTAAGGGCCATCAACTGCTCCACCGGGTCGACTTCCCTGGCGCGGCCAAATCTCCTTAGCACCGCCGCGCGGAGCTCCTGCCAAGATCGAAACGGATTCTGCGCGTCAGCGCATTGGAACCAACCCAGGGCTTGCCCCTCCAAACAAACCGAAGCTACCATCACCTTCTCCTCATCTTCCACGTCATTCACGGCAAAATACCGGTCGGCCCTGAACACCCAACCTTGGGGATCATCTCCTTGGAACAAGGGCATCTCGAGCCGCCTTCCTCGGTGCTCCGCTCGACCCCTTGGTATTGGAGGTGTCTCCTGACGATTCTCACATTCATATCGCCGAGGTTCCTCGTGGCGAGGAGGAGGAGGAGGCGAGACCAGCCTCATGTTCGGCGGTGGTCGGCGAAGGTCAGGGAACCGCTGAGGCCCTGCATCAAACCTTGGGGGAGGTTACTGGTTGCGTTAGAGCAACTCCGCCTACCGAATAAGCAGGTTCTCCAACCTCCTCACCGACCCTTGCATTTCCCCCATATGGGCGCCAAACTCAGCCACGTCTTCTTAAAGTTTTGGGAGTGGCTCCATCATCGCCTCCACGATCTGTAAGGCTTCGTAAAATGTTCTCATCCTCTGCTCGAGCCGAGCTAGTTCTTCCCCTGGAAATTGCTCTCCGAAAGCGTCTGCCATGGATGACCAGCTCTAATATCAAACTGTTACGTTCCTGCACAATTCAATGAATAACAGACAATAACAAGCGAATTCGCTAGAAAAATTGGGTGATTTCCTTTTATTAATTCAACCAATAGAATCTCAAGGAGATGTGAATTCCTCCACAGAGAATTACAGGAATAATGAAAACTAGAAAGTATCTGAGAGACGACAGAAATGGGAGAATTCGAGGTTCCCAACCTCCAAGGTCTGAAATAGAAAATTACTCAAAATCCAGACAGCCCACACATCCCCCTACCTTACTGCCTAAATACCTTTTTGCTCACACTCATAACTAACTCTGCCAACCTAGCAACTTATTCCCGAATCCCACTCCTTTCCCCTGTTTCCTCTGTTTCCTGCCAATTACCCTTCTTGCCCTTCCTCCTAGCATACACTAATGTCACAAGAGGCCTAATAGAAGATAAGAAGATTGAAAAGATAATAGAGGCCGGCTTTGCACTTTAATTAAAGATGATGAAAAACATTGTCTTGAGAAAGAGAGAAAAAATAAAGAAAAAAATAACACAGTGATTATATTATAAAATCTGCAGCAATGAGAGCTGCAAATCTGTACGTCAATACTTGAAACTTAAGAAGGTAAAAAAAATAAAAAATAAAATAAAGGAAATGAGAAAAACCAATATATGATACATGTAAATAAGTTTTACTGTAAAGACCTAATGCAATATCGAAGCTAAAGGGCAGAGAACAGGAAAAAAGGAGTAAAAAGGACTATTATATAGATAAGTAAATGTCCGTTGCAATCCATTCAAATATTGAAGCTAGAGATAGGAAGATTTGAAATCAAGTAAAAATGAGGAATTTGCATAGTATAAAAACAGAATGGGAAAAGGATGGCTCAGCCTTCGAAAGGAGGTAATCTTTGATGTAGCAATTATGGTTCAGATATTTAATATTCTCAGTAATGTACAATGAATAAGCAAACTTATTTATCTATAGTATTTTTATGGCTGCCTACTAAGGGAAACTGCACATTTTGTGGCTACCAACTAAGGACAACTGCACAAAAATACATAAATTAATAAGTTACTATATTCATTGCACAAATTATAAAGTATGTCACAAAAGATGAGTGACTGAAGTAAAATATGAATTTGTCCAAAGGCTACTAGGTGAATTAAAAGAAAGGGCAAAAAGCTTTGATTTTATTTGATATGTAAAAAACAGTAGCAAAGCAGAGACCAATTAAGAGAATATGATGAGATTAAAAATCAGAAAAAGCAGAAGAGAGAATTGAGGAGATGGAAGTAGATAAGAAGATTGAAAAGAGAATAGAGGTCGGGTCCGCACTTTAATTAAAGAGGATGAAAAACATTATCTTCATAAAGAGAGGAAAAACAAAGAAAAGAACAACATAGTGATTGCATTATAGAATCTGTAGCAATGAGAGCTATAAATGTGTACGTTAGTGCTTAAAACTTAAGAATGTAAAACAAAAAAGAAAAAAAAAAGGGAAGGAGAAAAACTAATATATAATACATGTAAATAAGTTTTACTATAAAGACCTAATGTAATATTGAAGCTAAAGGGCGGAGAACAGGAGAAAAGAAAACAAAAAAGGACTACGTTATATGGATAAGTAAATGTCCCTTGCAGTCCATTCAAATATTGAAGCTAGAGATAGGAAAATTTGAAATCAAGTAAAAATGAGGAGTTTGTATGGTATAAAAATAGAATGGGAAAAGAAGGACTCAGCCTTCGGAAGAAGGAGGTAATGTCAAAAACAAAGAAACTATATTAACAGCAATCTCTGGACAAATCATATAGAACTCAAAATATGAGACTTTAATTCTGATCATCATCGCCATGAAACAAATGAAGGAAAAAATAAGAAGACTTAGTATACATAAAGAATATGAGATAAACATATTAGGGTAATTATCTTGCTCATAAAAAGTGATAAATTTTAAAATTTATCAATAGAACAGTCATGAATACTATGGTTAGACCAATATTAGCAACATTTATTAACTGTGAAAAGAAATATTACTAAGAGACATGTATATAAGACATGTATATAAATATATTACTGAGAGGTAGATGAAGCACGTATGTTGCTAAGAAATGAATAAAGGGCAAGTAAATACGTAGGCATATTTAAGCAGTAAAGGATAGGGGAAAAAAGGACAAAAAAAAAACAATCCAGAGAAATTGACAACATTTATTAATAAAGGAGCACTTTTACCAATATTGTACATGAATGAGAGATACTAATTAAACAATAAAGGTATACATCAACAGCCATGATGAAAGAAAAACAATACATATCAATAATGCTACATGAAAAGAATATATACAATATCAGCAAAGAACATCAAAAAAGTATCGGCAAGGGCTATTAATCATACCTGAAACGCTCCAAACACTGCTTTAATTATGATATATCAGGAAACCAGAGAAACTCAGAGATGGTCAGACATAAAAATAGGAAAACAAGACAGTAAATGATGAAAAATGGAATGAAGGAGTAAATGATCAGAAATGAAACAATGATAAGGATAGGCAGTCAAAGGTAAAAGAGTATAAAAGAGCACAATAGTAAATGATCATGGGTGGAACAAAGCAGTAAATGATGAAGGATAAAATAGAGGAGAAAAACTGACAAGAGCAAGAGAAAGGAATTGGAGAAGCACAATGAATGAATCCAAAGCAACACTCTTCATAAATAAAGAGGCCAAAAGCATGTGTGAACAGTAAGCAACGTATAATAACACAACACGTAATAGGGCGTAGTCGATTTACAGATGGTAAAAAATTTAAATTTGTTAATTAAATCACAAAACCAATACACTGGTTATTGTAAGAGAAAAGGGGCCGAATGAGATTATAGACAATTGGCAAATCATTTTATATTTTTACAATGAAATGAGAACAAACAATGAAGCTAGCAAAACAAATCAGTAATATATGCACCACAACACAGCATATCAACAAATGAAACAGAAAAAATCTGAGATTACCTGTACGCCGCAGAAAAGGGGGCAAAAGAAATTCCAGCCTTGCAAACAGCTGTCCTGCGACAAAAAATCCATGAAGGCAGAGGATGGAGGACCTGAATCAACAGAACAATATGCATTACTCAACAGGAAATTACATTAGATATTAAGAAACCAATCATGTAAAAAAACAAAGGAAAAAAAAGGGACGGGAAAAAATAAATGAGAAAAAACCGAACAAAATTAAGGGGAAAACATGCACTGGAACAAAATTATAAGTAACAGAAAAAAATTTGAGAGGCCTGCACCAAAAACGGAAAGAAAGGCGGACATAAATCACAAATCGAAGTAGCCGAGGAACATAGAAGAAAAAACAGATAAAAGCCCCAAATTTTCAGTCAAATCAAAAGAAAAGAATGAACAAAGAAAAAATCCATAAAATCCCTCAAATTTTCAACCTAAGTGAGACGAAAATGAGAACAAAACCAACATAAATTCACAGGAGGCAATGAGAACCCCAAAGCCAACCCAAAGTAGGAAAGGAACCCATAGAAAAGGAAAAACAAAAGCCCTAAATTTGGGACCAAACCGAACGGAGCAAACAAATAGAGCAAACAAATAGAGCAAAAATGCATAGAATCCTAAAATTTATAGCTAAATGAGACTAATGAAACGAAAACATTGAGAGCAAAAAGCGAGAAATCCAGGATTCCTAAGAGCACGAAAGAACCGAAAAGAAGCACAGTGGAACATAAAAAGAAAGAGGCGCAAATGAAAGGAAAAAGAAAAACAAAAAGGGAAAAAAACGCAAATGAAGGAAAAGAAAAGGCAAAAAGAAAAAAAAAACCAACGACACTCAAAAGACCAAAATGCCCTTGTGCCAGACAATGAAGGGAGCATAAAATCGAGGCCAAAAGCGTCATTTCACTGTAGAAAAAACAGTGAATTGAGCCCACGTGAACAGTAAGAAGAAAAAAAGGAATTGAATATATGAACATCATGTATAAGGCAAATAAAACAAAGAATGGAATGAAATAATGAAACGTTAACAACAAAGATCAATACTACTTTAGCAAAGTCATAGATAGAATATCAATATAAAAAGTTTAAAAGTTATGGGCAGAGATTGATAATAGTAGGTGAAAGGCTCAGATTTTGGGTAAAGCGGTGCATATGAGCACCAAATATCAACAATAGTCTTCAGTGAAGGAATAACATAATGAATAAAAAAAAGTAAAAAACCTTTTGAAATAGAAATAAAAAAATAAGTGACTAAATAAAGTAGCGAGTGCAAGGGAAAGAAAAAAAAAGGACTGAAAAATAAATAAACATAAATATGATAGTATCTTTATGTAAGTGGTAGCTCAGGTATTTAATCTTTTCAGCAATGTGTGACAAATACATTGTGGCTGCCTACAAAGGCAACTACACAAAGGGATGACATATTGTATCTATCACACAAATTAAATTTGCATGTGACACAAAATAGATAACTTGAGTAAGATATAAAGTTGTTCAAAGAGTACCAAGTGAATTAAATACAAAGCCAAAAAAAGGGAGAAAACAACATAAGAGGCATAGTGTAACATAGATTATATGATGAAATAAAATAAGAAAAGTACAGAAAAAAGAGATAGTAAACAATAGCAAATAGAGGAATAAAAAGGTGATGAATAGAATAAGGAGAAGTGAATGAAATAATAAAGCCTGTCTTTTGCTTTT